GAGTGCCATGGCGTCAGCCTGGCTCACAGCAACCTCAAACTCCTGGGCTCAAGCGATCCTCCTGCCTCAGCCTCCCGAGTAGCTGGGACTACAGGCATGCACCACCATGCCCGGCTAATTTTTTCTATATATATTAGTTGGCCAATTAATTTCTTTCTATTATAGTAGAGACGGGGTCTCGCTCTTGCTCAGGCTGGTTTCGAATTCCTGACCTTGAGCGATCCTCCCACCTCGGCCTCCCAGAGTGCTAGGATTACAGGCATGAGCGACCGCACCCGACCTAGTTAGAGTTTCTTATTATGTATCACTCCCACAGAAATGAAGTAGTGGTATACCAGCATTTATATACAAATCTTTTTTGTCGGCCGGGCGAGGTGGCTCACGCCTATAATCCTAGCACTCTGGGAGGCCGAGGCGGGCGGATTGCTTGAGGTCAGGAGTTCAAAACCAGCCTGATCAAGAGCGAGACCCCGTCTCTACTATAAATAAAAAGAAATTAATTGGCTAACTAATATATATATAGAAAAAATTAGCCGGGCATGGTGGCGCATGCCTGTAGTCCCAGCTACTTGGGAGGCTGAGGCAGAAGGCTTGCTTGAGCCCAGGAGTTTGAGGTTGCTGTGAGCTAGGCTGACGCCACAGCAGTCACTCTAGCCTGGGCAACAAAGCGAGACTGTCTCAAAAAAAAATAAAAAAAAAATCTTTTTTGTCTTGAAACAAATGCGATCTTCATATACATTCTCCCAAATTTTTTCTTCAATTAGTAAGATAGCTTAGAATCCTTTCAGGTCAGCACATGATATTTTTTCATAAAAATGCATACAATAATTTATTTAATCAGTCCTGAATTCACAGGCATTTAGATTAGCTCCATATTGCATAAACTGACCTTCCTACCAATACCATAGTGAGATTGCCCATTTCTCCACAGCCTCACCAGCAGTGGGTTTTATCCAAACTTTTAAATTTTGGATTGGTGAAAAACTATAATGCATTGCTCTTAATTTTTAATTCTTAAACTAGAAATGCGGTTGAGCATCTTTCTTTTTACATACTTATTAGCCATTTTCACTTATTTTCTCTAAACTGCTTGTCCATTGCCTTAGTGTATTGTCTTGTCAAGTTATTTTTTTTTTCCTTATTATTTTATATTAGCTTTTGGTAAATTAAGGAAGTTAACCCCATGTCTGTTATTTATGCTGCTAATATTTTTCAATATCTACAGTTTATCTTTTCAGTGCTTAAAAGCACAGACTCTATCCTTTTAAATGAATTAAAATATGTTTATGTACATTTTAATGTGCTATGTTTTGTAGGTCACGTGGTAACCTCTACCCAGTACATTTTTTTTCCAGAAAGTTCCATGTCTTCTCATATGGTAACAATTGTTCCAACAGCCTGTTTGCCTTTGCAAACCCAGGACACACTTCAATTTAAATGGATCCACAGCTTGACAGTGAAATCGCAGGAAATACGGTCTCATAATGGACCATTAACACTGTCTAACACTCATTCTCTTTATCAAAAAGTGTAGAAGTCACAGGAGAAACACCAAATCTTACACTGAGCACTAAGATGACCCCTAATACCACGTTGTCACGCAGAGACCTGTCATGCGTTCTCTTGCTATTACATGGCCATTAGGCCTGGACAAGAGCCAGGACCCAACGGGTCTGTGACAACCATGCCTGATGTTTAATTGAGGGGGACAGATGTTCGGTGTAGACCCAGGACACGTGGGTGTAGTTTTACTGGCCTGGATGTGCCCTGTGGTGAACATTAGTTAGCACAGACTGGCACAGCTTTCTGATCTTCGTAATCATTCATACCGTCACAAAACTACAAATCGGTAAACAAAAAATTACTGCATTATGTGGGAGAACGAGTTAATCCGACTACAGTGGCTAATATTGCTGAATTAAATAATGCATTTGGGTGCTTTTAAAAGTCTGTGCTGTTGTATTTTTTAATATAGGGAAATATGACAAAACTAATTAAAAATATATGGTTTATAATCCCACACCGAAGTAGCACCACCATACTGATCTTTTGTAAAAATAACTAACACAGGTTCACTGTGTTCATTAAAATTTTAGCTGTAGCTGTCAAGGGTCAATCAATAAACACTTCGAAAAGTTGGCATCAATCTAAGCAAGCGGATCTGCTCTAGGAAGCTGCCTGCCTTTTCCTAATACTTTTTTTTTTCCATTTTCTTTTTTATTTCAGCATATTATGGGGGTACAAATGTTAAGGTTATGTATATTGGCCATGCCCCCCCTGCCCCCTCCTTCCTAATACTTTTGTTAGCAAAGAATACATACAATGTAACAAGCCTTGCCCATCAGGTGGAAAAAGCTATCTTGTGATTTGCATTCATTTCAATATGAGTAAGCTCACCATTTCAGTGGTGCCCGTGATTTTTTTGTGTGTTTGTGACAGATTCTCACTGTGTTGCCCAGGCTAGAGTGCTGTGACGTCAGCCTAGCTCACAGCAACCTCAAACTCCTGGGCTCAAGCGATCCTCCTGCCTCAGCCTCCTGAATAGCTGGGACTATAGGCATGCGCCACCATGCCCGGCTAATTTTTTCTCTATATATTTTTTTTAGTTGTCTGGCTAATTTCTTTCTATTTTTAGTAGAGACAGGGTCTTGCTCTTGCTCAGGCTGGTCTCAAACTCCTGACCTCAAGTGATCCTCCCGCCTTGGCCTCCCAGAGTGCTAGGATTACAAGCATGAGCCACCGCGCCCGGCCTGCATGTGATTTATTTGTAATGCTTTTCTAGTGAATTCCCTTTGCCCATTTTTCTATTAAGTTTTAATCTTTAACTTATTAATTTGAATTAGCTCTGAAATTTAGAAAATCAGCTCTTTTCCATTAATATAATATGTATTGGGAATATTTTCCAAGTGTGTCCATTTTCTTTACAGCGATATTTGCCACAAGGTGGTTTTTAATTTTTATGGTGACAGATGATTTGTCCTCCTTTAATGGCCTGCAGGTTTTGTATCCTGTTTGGAAAAGCCTTCCTCGTGCCAGAACAATGAATGGATTCACTTGTATTTTCTTCTATACTCATTATGATTTTGTTTTTTATATTTTATTCTTTGCTCTACCTGGAATTTTTCTTTTATTAAGAAAACTAGCCACTCCTCTGACCACTGCTACAACACCATCTGTTAAATAATCTCTCTTTCCCCATGGATTTTCAAAACCACTAAATGAAATTTTCCAATCTATGTGTCCATTTCTGAATTGGCTTTTCTGTTCTGCTCTATCTACTGCTGCACAGTAGATAGATTCATGACACATTTTCATAATATCTTTTAATATCCCACAAGATCCAGCACAAAGCCACCAGTTCACTAATCCATGGCACATTTAACAACTATATCGAAGGAGACTCTTTATTCCAAAACATGTGGAAAAGTGAATTACCGTGCTCACACTCGCCCTGTCCTGCTTTGCTCCCCCCAGAGCTCGTCCCTCCACCTGGACCTCAGTGAGGTCTGTCCCCTCATCAGAACGTCAAGCTCCAGGAGGCCAGGAATCTTGCCGTTCCTGGCTGTCACACAGATGCCAACAAACCCCGAGTGTCAGCAGGAACAGACCGGGAAACTTGACCTTGGGCCCTGCTGGCAGTAGGCAGCTCTCAAGTGTCCTGCTGAACAGAACGCTGCCACCGCCCAAGATGTTATCGGAGGGATTCCCTCGAAGAAGACAGGTGACTTCCCCTGAGCCATGTGCCCCATCCCTACTTCAGTCCTCGTGGGCCTTTCACACTTTCCTGATGGCCCGGGTGTAGAAGGAGTGACTATTGTCACTTGAAGTACTTAAACATCTTGGCCAAGTGTGGCTTTTCCCAAGGTTGGGGGGGGGGCAGGAAGGGAAGGACCCCATAAACAAACCTTTACTCAGTGTGTCCAGTTCCCCCTGAGCTCCTGTCTCAAACCCCAGCTTCCTTTTTGGTCTCTTTTGCATTTTCCCTCCCCGGCAGCCTCCATTCACCTTTCACAAAACCCCAACCTTGACCCCTAAAGGATACTTCCCGTTCCCCAAGTCTGAACTATTCCAGCTACAGCTCTCCAGCCTATGTCTGCACTAGACCTCTCAGGAGAAATTGTTTATGATGCAGATCGCCAGGGACAACCCCAAGAGACCCTGACTTAGCAGGCATGGCCACAAAATGGCATCTTATTTTATTCTTTTGAGATAGAGTCTCAGTTTGTTGCCCAGGCTAGAGTGAGTGCCATGGCATCAGCCTAGCTCACAGCAACCTCAAACTCCTGGGCTCAAGCAATCCTCCTGCCTCAGCCTCCCAAGTAGCTCGGACTATAAGCATGCACCACCATGTCCGGCTAATTTTTTGTATATATATTTTTAGTTAGTCGATTAATTTCTATTTTTGGTAGAGACGGGGTCTCGCTCAGGCTGGTTTTGAACTCCTGACCTCAAGTGATCCGCCCGCCTTGGCCTCCCAGAGTGCTAGGATTACAGGCGTGAGCCACCGCGCCTGGCCCAAAATGGCATTTTAAATAAAGATTCCAAGTGACTGATACAATGACCACCCTGGTTCAGGAGCCCCCTTGTTGGGGGGTGGGGGTTGGGGGAAATCTTGGGCAGAAGGAAACTAAATCTTTAGCTAAGAGACCTCAGCTTCTGTCTGAGGGAATGGGAGGAGAGGGAAGGGTTTTCATCTTCTAGCTGCTTTTTAAAAATAAATCAGTACTTTCAGGTAATTTACACCACCAGTTACCTAGAACCTTCTAGAAACCCTAAGATCTATGGGAGATCCTTTCACAGTGGTGGAAGGCCACAGCATAAAGGAGAAATGGCTTCTTGTCTCATGGAAAATGAACAATTGTTGAAGCTCAAACCCAAGTCTGATGACCACTGGTGTATGTCTGGAAGCCCAGGAGTATATACGGCTTCACATGGGAACACTTTTCTCGAAGTAAACAGTCCATGCAATCTCTACTTATAAAGGAGGCTAAACAGGACAATTAATTTGCTAAACTTTATTTCATGTGTGTACACTTACATTTAATAATCACGGTGTCAATCTGCTAACACAATGAAGCCCTAGAGGACCAGATTTTCAAAATGGGAGCTGGGCGGTCACAGGCTTCCAGCAGCTTGGAGTCCAATCTACTTCCGGGTCTTGTCTTGCACTCACCCAAGGGAATCCTTGATGCACATAGGTGGGTAGCTGCGAACGGAAACTATTCTTTTTCTGTATCTTCAATTAGACTCATCCAGGTTTTTGAAAGAAATTGTCACAAAGAAATTGGTTTTAAAGTTGAATCACTGACAACATCTAACGACTGTGTTCACATTTTTATCACAAAGATTGAAGTCAGAAAAGATACCCTGAAAACTTACAAGGCCTAAGACTCTAGGACAGAATATATTATTATGTTGCGCCATATGAATACATTTACTTGCTATCACATGACTGAAGCATGACAGCAGCATGGGGGCGTGTGAATTACAAAAGGAAACTTTTCTTCAAGAGTGCTGGCTTATAGGACATGCACAGGACTGGATTTCTTTCATCCTACCTTGCTTATTAGAGTCACATTTACAAGAAATTCAATACACAGAAACAACTAACTCGAGACCTGGGCGAAAACAAGTTAACCTATGAATGCAAGGTGACATTCTGATAGTCTTCAATGCGACTGGTTTGGTTTATAACAGATCTGAGTAGTCATTTTTCACAGTTTTTTTAAAGTACACGAAAAAAATAGATTTGGATTATATCTTTGTGGATGCCTTGGGGACTCCCCGGGATACAGTCCAGAAACCACTGAGATCTTGGGGCTCCTGCCCTCCCCCTACACATGCACACACATGATGACACATGGTAGTCTGGTCTAATTTAGCATCTAAATTCAGAGGGCAGGAATTAAAATTAGCTAATTTTAAAAAGATTTCTTCCCCTCTTACTATAATGTGAGAAGAGGCCTTCAGGTTCAAAGATGGTGCCAGGCTGGTGGGTGGGTGTACTGGATACAATCTGAGCTGCACAGCGGGACACGTAGGAACACCAGAGTCCTTCCCTGCCAGTCATCTCTCATCTCCAGAGGCTTCCTGAGAGGCTCACCCCAAATGGGAATCAAAGTGCCATTTTTATTAACAAACTCTAAAACTCAAATACTTCAAGGCCTAAGCAGACAGTCTTTTCCCCTACAACCAACTCTTGGGACCGTGCCACTCTTGGGACCAAGCCAGCCAGGTACGCGTCAAAGGTCCTGGCTTAACTTACCCGCTGGTCGCAGGAGAGCGGCTGGAGGGGACAAAACAGTTGCCTGGCTTTTCAAAGTCCCCAGCCCTGCAGAGGTCACTCACCATGCAGGAGTCCAAGGAGGAAGCAGGGAGTTGGGGAGAAAGGCTGAACACGGATAAGTGTAACAGGGGCCCTTCCCATGCATGATGAATGGGGAATGAATGTTCTAGAATTTTCCCAACACACTTAGCAACTCTCCTGCCTCTGAAGGTGAGTGGAGGAGGAGGTGAAAAAGCATGCTTGGTAGAGAGAAGGGCACAGAGCCATAGCTCCCCCCCCATACCTCCCACCTAAGATCTCACCTACCGTTTACCTCTGAGAGTCAGATATCTATAAACTGGGTCCCTAAAAGAGTCAAAAATCTTATTTCCTCCAGTGACAAGAGAAAATCTGGCTCCTGCCTTGGAACTTCTTCCTTGGTCTTCTTTCAACTCCTCAGGTACGGGTGGTGTCGCGAATCAAAGCTTTCTGGATTCTGTGGATAAATCAGAACAGCTCAAGGCAGGAAGCAGACAGAGGTGTCATCAGGAAACGTTTTACTTCCTAAGACCTTCTGGGTCCTTGAACATTTCCATCCCTGGGGACCAGGCCTCTAGAAAACTTCACCCTTAAAGCCACATACCCTGACAAACAACATTAACCCCAAGCCATTAAATTCGTATGGAGGCAGATGGTCACATGGAGTGGCAGAATGACTACAGTGACACTCATCAGTGAAAGACTGGTGGGTGGGTTTGCTTTGCCACTTCCAGCCTGCTAGGTGTCCCCAGTGTTGACCTTCAGCAGCTCCTAGGAGGGTGGTCCGGGCTGTCACCCTCTAAAACCTCCCCTGGTGTGTCACATGCCTCCTCCAATGCACTAGCGTCTTGCTCATCACCCTCCTGACCAGCCACCCCCTTGGGCTCCTCTGCCCCCACCTGCCACTCCTGCTCCCCCCACCTCATACGCTTGTTGACACAATCTCAATCACTTCTGCCGTCATTCTCACCATTGGCATCACCACGAGAGCATTCCGGCTTGGCTCTCGGACCCCTGGACGTTGAGGCTGGTGACTCAGTGTGCCTCGGGCCGCGAGGGGCCTTCTGAACTGTCGCATCCTTTCTCGAGCCTGGTCCCTTCTTGGGAATCACGGGCTTCTTCTTGCCCTCTTCGGAATCAACGAGGACGTAAGAGACAGGGCCCAAGCTCACTTTCTTTTTCTTCCTCATGGGGGCTGGGTTCTTCGCAGAGGCCCAGCCCACGGCCTTCTTCTTCCGGGGGCTCTGCTGGCTGCCATCTTGGTCTGACTCAGAGGCGGCGCCATGGCTCCCAGCTTCTGCAGGGGCCTCGGGAAGGGGCGCTCTGGGAGCCTTCCCGGCACTTTTGGCCATGGGCTTCTTCAAAGCCACCTCCTCCTGCTTCACGCAGGGCTTTCTGTTGCTCTTGAGAGATTCTGAGACCTCCATGCCTTCATCGCCAGGATCCTCCGAGCAGGCCGAGCCGCTGGCGTGGCTGCCTTTGGGCTTTTTCCAAGGCACTGGCTCCTGCTTGGGAGTTTTCCTCTGCTTCTTTCTCCTGGAGCGAGTCTTAGCTCCAGCCTTGCGAACCAAAGGCTTGGGAGGGTCACCCTGGTTTTCCATCTCATTCCAGTTGTTGGGGTTCTCCACCTTCAAGGCAGAGCCCACCTCTGCCACCAGCCCTGGCTCCTTCTTGACGTTCCTCCCTGCTGCTAGAGCCCAGGCCGTGGTCTCCTCAAACTCAGCAGCCTCCTGCGCCTTGGCTTCCTCGCGACTGCGGATCTCGGCATCCATGTAGAAGATGATCTGCACCACCGCGCCCAGGAGCACACCCAGAGATTCTGCCCAGTTCTCGGGGGGCTGATTCTGGTTCTGGGACCTCGAGGGGTGGTTGAGCTGGAGCAGGCGCACCACATCCTCCCAGGTGCGCCCCTCAACATCCAGGAACTCGTTCAAGTTTTTTAAAAACTCAGCATCCTGGGTGGGGTCTCTACAGACCACTCTCCAGACACCGCCCCTTCCCGGGAATTCCCGGGGTATGACGCTCAGATTCACACCCTCGCCCACCTCGATGAGGGCAGCCTTGGAATTCTCCTCCCTCACAAAAATCTTGTTGAGCACGCGGTACGTGCCCAGGGGAGAGAGGACCCCACTCAAGGTCTCCTCAATTTCTGCATGTCCACAGTCCTCTGGGATGCCTATGACCAACAGGGACCTGTGGATGTCCACTTCCATCCCCCGGCACCAATCTTCCAGAAGGTTCATGGCCATGGTCTTGGACACTTAGCAGCTCTAATCTCACGTGTACTAAAGAGTCTGCAAGGGGTACGTGGGCTGCCCAAATATTAACCCTGCAAGGTCACAAGAGAATGAGGTCAGATTTCCGTGAAATCGGCCAAGCTCAGAGATCCCAGCCGCCCTCTCCGCGGCTGGCCTGCAGGAGGAGGCCTCGCGCTGTCCCGACACCCTCCTCCCCCAAGCCCGGCCCCGGGTGCTCACACGTGTCCGGGAATCTGTCGCAGACTCCCCGGGGCCTGCCGCTCGGCCTGCCCGGCTGGGATGTGCTCGGCAGCCCCGCCTCCGACCGGCCACCCCGGCCAAGCAGAGGCCGCTGGGATGCAGCCGCCGCCCGGGCGCTGGCTCCGGCCACCTGACGCCGCTGCTCTGGGCAGAAAGAGCCGACAAGCCGCGGCCGCCCCCGCTCCGGCCCGGGCGGGTCACGCGGTGTCCCGCCTCGATCCCGGCAGCCGCGCGGACCCGAGGCTGGCGACGCAGCGCGCGCCTGCGCATTTGCTCCCGCGCCGGGGCTCCGCATCTTCGGGCCGCGCAGGTCTCGAGGTCTCCATGGCAACCGACCGCTGGTTGCTAGGACTGAGCGTGGCCTGCGAACGGGCGAACGGGCTCTGCGGTTGGGCCAGGGTGCCCGTGGGAGTGCGACAGTTCACGTGATCAGCGAGCCAGGGGTCTGGGTAGGCCGCCTCCTTCCACCTTTCACTCCGTGTGGGCCTCGGGACCGGGCAGCTTTAATGCCCCCGGGCACCCCTAACAAAAGCCACAGCTCCTCTTGGGCAGCCTTCTCCAGCTCCCGCTCCCGGGTTCTTCCATGAATTTCCAGAAAATTCTAGAAAGTTCTCCCTGTCCTCCCCCATGCTGATCTCCCAGGCCTACAGATGGCACCTCAACTTTGCTTGTTGGTTTCTTCAACCTGCTCCCCACGGACAACACCTTTGTTAGCAGTTAATTAAAAAACTCTTCTATGTGACTCGGTTCTAGTTGCCATCTGTTCCCCGTCAGGGCCTCACTGACAGGCCCAGCAATGCTGCTTCCTAGCTGCGCGACCTTGGACAAGTAACTTGAGTTCTCTGAGCTCCTTCTTCTCCACAACAGGAATGCTAATGAACACCTTCATTTCGTGATTTGGAAGTTTTGAAGACTCAGGGAGATCATATAGGAAAGATGCACTGAAGTACGATTGAAGCCATGGTATTCGACCAAAATCTGTTCTGTGGGTTCAGTTTTGGAACTGGCCTTTGCAAGGACAAAGAGCCGAATGCCTATTTCACCGTCCTCTCTGGCATCCCTAAACTTGGGTGTGATCAATGTTTGTGTGATTGGGGAACGAACAGGAAAAACCCATGTCATTCGAATGAACACCTCAATCATTATTCACTTCTAAATATATCAATAAAGATAAATACTCTAGCTATAAGAGTTTTAAAATTTCATGTATGTTGAAATTCAATCAGTTGAATGAATGTATGTGATTATGCAGTGGTTTTAAAATATGCCCATAAATTCTTTGACACACCTGTTGAGAAGTGGGGATGTACATCCCCTACCCTAGAATCTGAGCAGACTTATAATTGCTTTAACCCATAGTGGTTGAAGAAAAGTGAACCACTAGAGGGTGGAAGGGGAGCTAAGTGACTTCTCAGAGCCGGTTACAGAAGGCCATGTACCTTGTTCATCTTACATTGGGACGCTCTCATTCATAGATCCCTGAGCTTCCAAGTAAGAAGTTCAACTACCCTGTGGCTGCCATGCTGTGAGGAAGCTCAAGCCACACAGCAAAACCACATGTCAGTGCTTCAGTCACCAGTTCCCAGCTTAGCCCAACCTTCAAAGGATCTCGTGTGAGTGACATGCAAGTGAAGAAACTTACAGATGATTCTAGCTCTTAACCATTTGAGTTGCCCTCAACTGTTTCCATCTTCCCAGTTGTGTCCCAGATATCATCACTTAGCAGAAACAAACCATCACTGCTGAACTCTGCGTGAATTCCTGACCCTTAGGGTCTATATGAGTAGAACAAAACAGTTGTGCTACACCACTAAGTTTTGGGGTGGCTTATTATGCAGCAGCAATAGATAATCGGGAGATATTGCAAAGGTGGAATGGAGCAAGAATCGAGGATGATTGGCAGAGCATTACTACAACAGAAAACGAGAGCAAAAAATCTTAAGTTTTCTCCTGAAAAGATTCCCCAAAGCAGCTCTATAAAGCAATGCACAAAGTTTCGCTTCCTGGAATTGTTTCAAGAGTCGAAGAAGAGATATATCTGCCTCTTCAGTCAGTTACTTTTAGTGAGAAAGGAAAGCATGGTAATTCAAGCACATGTCACCATTACCAGAGCTGGTTAAAAAAATGTCTTGTTCCTTCAGTTTTTAGCATCAGAAATCAGGAGTAGCCAGATGAATAAGCTGGTAGCTGACTGTTCTCTGAAATCATATAGGAATTTATTTTGGTATGCAAGGGAATGATAGGCACTGGATTTTGATAAATACTGGAATTTTTAATGCAGTAATCCTCAAAGTAACTATCTTTAGGGACAATAAGAGTGGAAATAAGATTGGAAGGGTCGATCACAGGCTGCTTAGACTGTAATTTTTTTTTAAAGATGTGTAAACAAATAGGGCATAATATTAAGATTTGATAAAGAATGGCAAGGGGTACATGAGGGTTGATGAGATAATTCTCTATTCTTGGCTCTGGGTTTGGAATATTCCAGAATTTAAAAAATAAACTAAGATGCTTTATTAACAATAACAGGTTAAGTTGCAGAGGTTGCAAATGTCACCTGTGGTTTGGGATACAATTTCCCACGGCCAGCATCGTATTTGAATTTGACCAACAATATCAGGGGTCCTCAAACTTTGTAAACAGGGCCAGTTCACTGTCCCTCAGACCGTTGGAGGGCCGTGGGAGAGTGCGGCGCACATTCCACACATGCGCACTGTGGGCCCACTAAGCAGGACAGGCAGCGGGGGCAAAAACACCCGGCGGGCCGGGTAAATGTCCTCCGAGGGCTGTAGTTTGAGGACGCCTGAACTATATCATCAATAACAGGCAGAGGCCGGGCGAGGTGGCTCACGCCTGTAATCCTAGCTCTCTGGGAGGCCAAGGCGGGAGGATTGCTCAAGGTCAGGAGTTCGAAACCAGCCTGAGCAAGAGCAAGACCCTGTCTCTACTATAAATAGAAGGACATTAATTGGCATGATATATATAGAAAAAATTACCGGCTGGGGCGCATGCTGTAGATCCCCAGCTACTTGGAGCTGAGCAGGAGGATCCGTTGAGCCAGGGATTTGAGGTTGCTGGAGCTAGCGTGATGCCCGGCACTCAACTCTAGCCTCGGGCAAAAATTGAGACCTTGTCTCAAAAAATAAATAAAATAAAATAACAGCAGAAAAAACTCATTTGAAATCCTAAAAGCTGCCATTTCCCAAGAGATCTAAGGATGTTTCAGAAAGACTCGGTAATTGAAGATGAAATGAAACTTTGATTCTTTTTTCTTAGACAGAGTCTCACGGCTTGCCAGGCTAGAAGTGAGTAAGCCATGCGTCAGCCTAGCTCACAGCAACCATAAACTAACTCTCGGGTCAAGCACTCCACTGCCTCAGCCTCCGAGTTAGCCTGGGACTACAGCAGTGTGCCACCATGCCGGCTAAGTTGTTTTTATAAATATAATATATTCTTAGTTGGCAATAATTTCTTCTTATTAGTAGAGACGGGGCTCATCAACAGGTGGTCTCGACATCCCAAACCTCAAGCTATCCACCCTCCTCGGCCTCCCAGAGTGCTAAGGATTCCAGGTGTGAGCCACCGCCCGCCTGGCCACAATGAAGCATTGAATTATTCAGTAGCATGGCTGAAGAAAGCACTCTTTTCTTTTTTTTTTTTCTTTTTTTTTTTGTAACCAAAACATTTTATACTCTTTCTAAATATTTTATTCATCGGGTGGTTTTGACTGTACGAATAAGAAAAGAGAATGGAAATATAGTAAAATTGAGTTATGCCAATATTTAAAATAAATGCATAAGAATGTGTATTGTGAAATACCATCATCCAAAACTGAGTAAGATATTGGGAGAGACATTTTTACTTTGTTATATATATAAAAAGGACATAGAAATTAATAGCAGATGTGGCGTCTTTGTGTGTACATGGACATACATCTGTGGTTGCATGGAGTCAGCTGTCTGCCCACTCAACTAAGCAGCTCCCTATGCAGAGATTTCAAAACAGTTTTGAAGCACCTTAATAGGGGTTATTTATGCTGGCTGCCTGAAACATGCAGTCCTGCGCGTTCCATAGCAACATGGTGGCACTACCCTGCCGCTCCTTGATAATGCTCTGCGTGGTTGCCATGACAACGAATCCTGCAGCCCCAACCCCTCCATCCATCCCTGCCCTGGAAGGTTAACCTTCCATCCTCTTCGTCTCTGTCTTGCCTTTGGGTTTTTATTTGCCCCACTGTTTATTTTAAATGAGAACCCACAGTTAGTTTTTTTTTTTTTTTTGAGACAGTATCTCGCTTTTGTTGCCAGGCTAGATGAGTGCCGGTGCGTCAGCCTAGCTCACAGCAACCTCAAGACTCCTGGGCTCAAGCATCTCCTGCCTCAGCCTCCGAGTAGCTCGGACTACAGGCATGCCGCCACCATGCCCGGCTAATATTCGTCTATATATATATTAGTTGGCCTATTTAATTTCTTTTCTATTTTTAGTAGAGAGGGGTCTTGCTCTGTCAGCTAGTTTGACTGCCTGATTCTCGAGCAATCCGCCCACCTCGGCCTCCCAAAGTGCTTACAGGCATGAGCCACCTCGCCTAGCCGAGAACCCACAGTTTCTGTAAATACTGAGCCCAGAGAAGGGGAACCTGGGCTCCTGCCGCGATTTCCTCTCCTGGGTAAGTTGTAATAACCCGTCGCGGTGGGTCTGCGACTCATCCTGGTTTGTTCTGTCTGGCTTGTCCTGGGAGAGCTTCTTCTCGCCCCAGAGTTTCCCTGGCCTCTTAAAGCTTATGTCGTGGTAGAGGAGCTAAGCAGTGAACGCGTCCATGTGGCATAATGCCGGGAATGAGAGGTGCATGAATACAAATGAGGCAGGGGGGAGGGACAAGCGAGTGTATCTGCGACAGGATGGTCAGGGAGGGCCTCTCTGAGATCCGAATGAAGTGAGGGCGTGGGGCTTGCAGAACCGTGGAGCTAAGGGTTTCCAGGCAGGGGCAACGGCAGGTGCAAAGGCCCTGTGGCTGGAGGTGTGAGATGCTTGAGGAACAGGGAGGAGGCCGGTGTGGCTCGTGGAAACGGAGGGAGGAGGAGAGGGAGGGAGAGGCAGTCAGAGGAAACGGGACCAGATTGTGTAGGGCCTTGGGACTTGGCTTCTTCTCAGAGCGACATGGGAGCCACTGCAGGATTCTGAGCTGCGTGTCAGCTGGGACACCTCCATTCACTGTAAGCTTTGCTGGACTCTCCTAGCCCCCTGGGCTTCTCTCTGCAAAGCCTTGGTCA